TCTTTTTTTGTGCTGTCTTTGCCTAGTTTTGGTATTAGAGTGATGCTGACCTCATAGAATGAGTTTGGGAGTATTCCCTCCTCTTCTACTTTTTGGAAAACTTTCAGGAGGATGGGTATTAGGTCTTCACCAAATGTTTGATAAAATTCAGCAGTGAAACCATCTGTTCCAGGAGTTTCGTTCTTAGGTAGTTTTTTGATTACCAATTCAATTTCCTTGCTAGTAATTGGTCTATTCAGATATTCTGTTTCTTCCTGTGTCAGTCTTGGAAGGTTGTATTTTTCTAGAAAGTTGTCCATTTCTTCTAGGTTATCCAGTTTGTTAGCATATAATTTTTCATAGTATTCTCTCATAATTATTTGTATTTCTGTGGTGTCCATAGTGATTTTCCATTCTCATTTCTGATTCTGTTTATGTGTATAGACTCTCTTTTTTTCTTGATAAGTCTGGCTAGGGATTTATCTATTTTGTTTATTTTCTCAAAGAACCAGCTCCCACTTTCATTGATTCTTTCTATTGTTTTACTCTTCTGGATTTTATTTATTTCCACTCTTATCTTCATTATGTTCCTCCCTCTACTGACTATGGGCCTCATTTGTTCTTCTTTTTCTAGTTTCATTAATTGTGAGTATAAACTGTTCACTGGGGATTGTTCTTCTTTCCTGAGGTAGGCCTGTGTTGCAATATACTTCGCTCTTAGCACGACCTTCTCTGTGTCCCACAAATTTTGCAGTGTTGAGTTATTGTCATTTGTCTCCATATATTGCTTGATCTATTTCTAGTTTCATACCCTTGTGGTCTGAGAAGCTGGTTGGTACCATTTCAATCCTTTTCAATTTACTGAGCCTGCTTTTGTGGCCTAGTATATAATCTATTTTTGAAAATGTTCCGTGTGCACTTGAGAAGAATGTGTATCCTGTTGCTTTTGGATGGAGTGTTCTGTAGATGTCCATTAGGTCCGTCTGTTGTAATACATTGTTCAGTGCCTCTGTTGCTTTATTTATTTTCTGTCTGGCTGATCTGTCCTTTGGAGTGAGTGGTGTGTTGAAGTCTCCTAAAATAAAAGCATTGCATTCTATTTCCCCCTTTAATTCTGTTAGTATTTGTTTCACATATGTAGGTGCTCCTATGTTAGCTGCTATAGGTATTTATAATCGTTATATCCTCTTGTTGGACTGACCCCTTTATCGTCATGTAATGTCCTTTGTCTTTTGTGACTTTCTTTGTTTTGAAGTCTATTTTGTCTGATACAAGTATTGCAACTCCTGTTTTTTCTCCGTATTAGTTGCATGAAATATCTTTTTCCATCCCTTTACTTTCAGTCTGTGTATGTCTTTGGGTTTGAAGTGAGTCTCTTATAGGCAGCATATAGATGGATCTTGTTTTTTTTATTCATTCAGTGACTCTATGTCTTTTGATTGGTGCATTCAGACCATTTACATTTAGGGTGATTATCGATAGGAATGTTCTTATTGCCATTGCAGGCTTTAGATTAGTGGCTACCAAAGGTTCAAGGGTAATTCCCTTACTATCTAACAGTCTTATTTAACTCACTTAGAATGCTATTAGAAACAACCCAAAGGTTCTTTTTTTTCCCCTCCTTTTTCTTCCTCCTCCATTTTTTATATATTAGGTATCATATTCTGTACTCTTTGTCTATCCTTTGATTGACTTTGGGGGTAGTTGATTTTGCATCTGGTTAGTAATTAATTGTTCTACTTTTCTGTGGTTTTATTTCCCCTGGTGACAGCTATTTAGCCTTAGGAATATTTCCATCTACAGGAGTCCCTCCAAAATGCACTGTAGAGGTGTTTGTGGGAGGTAAATTCTCTCAGCTTTTGTTCATCTGAAAATTGTTTAATCCCTCCTTCAAATTTAAATGATAACCTTGCCGGGTAGAGTATTCTTGGTTCGAAGCCCTTCTGTTTCATTGCATTAAATATATCATACCACTCCCTTCTGGCCTGTAAGGTTTCTGTTGAGAAATCTGATGATAGCCTGATGGGTTTTCCTTGTGTGTGATCTTTTTTCTCCCTCTAGCTGCTTTTAAGTCTGTCTTTATCCTTGATCTTTGCCATTTTAATTATTATATGTCTTGATGTTGTCTTCCTTGGGTCCTTTGTGTTGGGAGATCTGTGCATCTCCATGGCCTGAGAGACTATCTCCTTTCCCACACTGGGGAAGTTTTCAGCAATTACCTCCTCATTGACACTTTCTATCCCTTTTTCTCTCTCCTCTTCTTCTGGTACCCCTATAATGCAAATATTGTTCTGTTTGGGTTGGCCGCACAGTTCTCTCAATACTCTTTCATTTTTAGAGATCCTTTTTTTCTCTCAGTGCCTCAGCTTCTTTGCAGTCCTCTTCTCTAATTTCTATTCCATTTACCATCTCTTCTACATCTAATCTGCTTTTAAATCCCTCCATTGTATGTAGCATTTCAGATATGGAATTTCTTAATGATTGAATCTCTGTCGTAAATTCGTCCCTGAGTTCTTGAACATTTTTCTGTATCTTCATGAGCATGTTTACGATTTTTATTTTGAACTCTCTTTCAGGAAGATTGGTGAGTTCAGTTTCATTTGGCCCATTTTCTAGGGTTTGTGAGATTTTGGTCTGAACTGGGTTCCTTTGACATTTCATATTTCTATGTGGCACGTTCTAGTTACCAGAAGTTCTAGTCTCTGGAACTGCTCAGCCCCTGGAGTGAGGTCAGGTGTCACAGGGGAGCGGTGATGGTGCCTAGGGGGAGGAAAGAGCTGTTTCCTGCTTCCCGGCTGCAGTACCTGTCTCCACTGTCAGAGCCAGTGAGCCGAGCACACAAGTGTAAGCCTCTGTGCTTTGTGTCTGTAGCTGTCATAAGCAGGGCCTTCCTCTGGCTGGCCTGACACCAAGGCAGTGACTGCCAGTTTGCAAGCCAGTGCCAGCAGGCTAGGAGGAAGGCACAGCAGGCAGCATATCACAGTGGGGGGCCTCGGAACTGAGTAGCCAGCCAGGGGGATGGAGTGCCTGAAGCTTCTGAAAGTTCCCAACCTGCTGGACAGAGCACACTCAGACAACCTTGTACATCTATCCCTTCTCCCACGCAGAAAGCTCCGTGGAAACCCTGCCCCTTCAGTAGCCCTTTTGCTACTAGGAAGCCTCTCAGACCACCCACCTTTCCTTTGTCCCAGAGCAGCCAGATTTGAATCCATGTCCTTCCACTAACAGCTGGAATCTCAGTTTCTCAAGCATTCCACCTGTCTTAGTTTTCCAATCCCACTAATCTTCAGAGCACCATGCAGTGTAGGTTTGTGCTCACAAAGCAGATCTCCAGGGCTCGGTGTTCAGCAGTCTTAGGCTTCCACCCGCTCCCTGCTCCATTTCTCCTCCTCCCGCTGGTGACCTGGAGTTGGGGAAGAGCTTGGGTCCCTCCAGGTCACAGCTTTGGTACGTAACCCTGTTGCTTGAGGTCTGCTCTGTTCTCCAGGTGTATTCAGTCTGGTGCAGCCCTCTTTCCTGTTGCTCTTTTAGGATTAACTCTGTTAACTATATTTCCATATTATATGTGGTTTTGGGAGGAGTTCTCTTTCTCACCTCTCACACTGCCATCTTCAATTGATCACTGACCATTCTTTCTGGCACATCTTATCGATTTCTTTTGTCTGAGCTATCTATTACTGAGAAAGATGAGTTATACTCTTCCACTTGCATGGTGGATTTATATATTTCTCCTTGTAGTTTTATCAAAATTCCTTTTCTATTTTGTAGCTAAATTATTGGATTAGGATGGCTAAAAAATCTCAGTGAATCAAATCTTTTATCACTATGTGGTAACCTTCTGTTCCAATCACTATAGTTGAGTAACAAGTCATCCCCAAATTTACTGGCTTAAATTTAAAATTAAATTTCAATTTAAAAATAAAACAAGAATCATTTTATTATATCATGGTTTCTGTGGGTTAAAAATTGGGGATGGCTTCAGTTAAGTGGTTCTATCTTTGGATCTTTTATGCAGTTGCAGTGAAAGCACAGTCCAAGGGCTGGAAAAGCTGTGAAGGGGGGTGGCAGCTGAATATCCCTCCCTCTCTTCAGGTAATCTCAGAGCTTCTTCAGGTAATCATGTGGATTACTTCTGTGGGCCAATTTGGGCATTTACCCCAGGGTAGCAGTCTCAGGGCAGTTGGACTTTTTACACTATAGCTCAGGACTCCAACTCAAGTGTTGTCATAAGCAAGTAGGAAGTGCATTTTCTCTTCTGACCTGGAGTCATTCTGCTACTTACATGCAAGTCACAAACTTGCCCAGATTCAAAGGGAGGGAAATTAAACTTCTTCTCTTTGTGGATGAATGACAAAATTGTAGTAGATGATGTGGAGCAGGGATATTGTTGTAGCCATCTTTGCAAAATAGATCTAGTATACTCTCTGTCTCTATTGATGTTTTTTGTATAAGATTTTGATCTGATACTAATATTGCTAAGTCAACTTTATTTTGGCTGTTATTTTTCTGGTATATCTTTTTCTGCCTTTCAATCATTTTGTATTCTTATGTTACAGGAAATGTCTCTTAACAGAATATAGCTGGATATTTTTTAAACTAACCTGATAGTCTTTGTTCTTTAAACGGACAGTTTGATCCATTTACATGGATTATAATGGATGATACACTTGGGTTTTTGTCTTCTAGTCTTTGTTCCATCTATTCAATTTTTCTAGGTTTCTTTTTTCTTCTTCCCTCTCCTGTTTTTGTTTTGTTTTGGATTAAATTCTCCCCATACTAATTCTTTTTCCCACTCTACTAGTTCATTTATTCTCTTTCTGTTCTTTTAATGATTATCCAAAAATTTTAACTTACCAGTGGATTTATTAGATCCTTAAGTTAATCATTCTTTTGGTCACCTCAGGAACAGTACAAAGATCTTGTACACTTTAATTCCTATCTGATTCCTTTAGATGTATATACAATTGTACTTTATTTTTATCTTGATTTTATATTCTATGTATCAGACATTATTTGTTTTATGTAGTCCAAATTAGTTTACAGTTATCCTCAAGCTTGACATTTTCTTTGCTACCATTCTTTCTTACATCTTAGGCTTTCTTTCTGGAATTGTTTTCCTTCTTCTGGAGATATGTTGGTAATGTTTCACTGTAAGTAAAGTCTTCATTTTTGGTTGTCTTAAATGTCTTTATTTTACTCAGTTTTTGTTTTTGGGTTATGGTTTCACTGGGTATAGAATTCCAGGTGGCTAGTATATTCTCTCAGTGCAATGAAGATATTCTAGCATGCTCTGGCTTCCACTGTTACTACTGAGAAGTTTCGTCAGTAAAATTATTGTCTCTTTGTATATATCATGTCTTTTTCTGGCTTGTAGGGTATTATCTTTATCTTTGATGTTTTTTGTTTTGTTATAATGTATCTAGGTTTGGATTTTTAAAAAATTTATTTAGGTTGAGATTAACTGGGATTCCTCATTTTGAGGATTGATATCTTTCTCCAATTCTGGAAAATTCTCAGCCATTGTCTTTTGAAATATTGTCTCTTCACTCTTGCCATTTTCTTCTTCTGTAATTCCATTAGACTTATGTTGGACCACCTTACTCTATCTTCCATGCCTCTTAACTGCTCACATTTTTTGAAATCACATTTTATTTAACTTGCAAAAAGAAGTATACAATTAATATGTATGGACTGATTTAGACAAAAATTAAAGTCAACTATGATATTTGATAAACTATCAAAGATGAGACTAAGATTTTAATTTTATTAAGGAATTAGTAAGTTTTAAGATTTTATTAAATAATAATTTATTAGTTAGCATCTTATTTATTCTTTAAGTTTTATGAGGTTAAAATCAAGATGTGAGTCCTTGAGTAACTGGTCAAAATACGGTTCTCCCACAGCATATCACTTTGTACCCAGTCTTCCAAAAGACTTCCTTCCATAAGTGACTTAAAATCAACATTTTATTCTGGGACTTTTGCCTCTCCATATAAGCTTTAGGGTCAGTTTGTCAATATCCACAAATAGCTTATTGGGATTTTCATTGTGGTTATTTGAATCTATAGATCACATTGGAAAAAATTGACATCTTAACAATATTGAGTCTTCTAATCCATGAACACAGAATACCTCTCCATTTATGAAGATCTTTGAGTTCTTTTTCAGAATTTTATAGTTTTCTGCATACACATCCCATACATATTTTATTAAATTTACTGCTCACATTGTTTTACCTCTCTGTCTTTTGCAATTATTTGAGGCCTAGGTTTTGAAGTACATTCTGAGAGAGATATCATTTCCTTCTGTCATGTACTGGGCTAGTTTTAAAAATATTGCTTATAGTAATATTCACTTTTAGTGTTATTATTAAGGTCTTAACAGTGGGAATGGACGCTCTCACAGAAAGGCAGTATGCGTCGGAGGAAGGTGCCTCAGCCCTTCCTACGAAACCTCAGGATAGCCATTTGGCCCCTCAATTTCTTCATTAGCGAGCTGGAGCACGCGAGGTTGTTCTGAGGACTAACTGAAAAATGGAGACCTTGCTTGGCACATGGTGGGCACTCAGCTGATACATCTTGGGTCAGAATCTGTTTCATGAACTCAGACTGTAGGCCAGTTACTTGTCCTACTTTAATTTTCATGAAACCCTTCCACAGGTGGGTATCGCTATGACCCCGTTGAGATAAGGACACTGAAGCAGAGAGAGAAAGTAACATGTCCAAGTCCACACAGACGTAAGTGGCATATTCTGAGCCTGAGCCTGGTTGGTCAGATACCACGTCTGTGTCTATTCAGCTCTGCCATTTTTGACCACCAGGGCCTGGGAGCATTGTCTCTTCTACTGTTTCCCTGCCAGTCCCCTTTCCTTGGCCACCTCCAGCCTTCATACATGTTGTTCCCTCTGCTTAGAACACTCCTGTGGCTACGGAAGTAGCCAAAAGAAAGGAAGATGGTTCCAGTATTTACTTTGGAGCTGGATCCAGAGCTCCACAGAAGAGCCTATAGATTCAAGACAGTTGCAAAGGTCTGTGGGGTAGTTCTCCTGGGATCTGCTAGCAAGAATCCAGTGTGTCTCCTCCAGAGGTTCCTGGTCAGGACAGCCAGCCTTTGAGGAGAGAGAAGGTGCAGGGGAAAGAAAGGAAGGCCGTCAGATAGGATAACCCAGATCCTGTCACAGCCTTGTCTGATGTTTCCCAGGGCTGCGTGGCTTAGGATGGTCTGACAGTTTTGTGTCACACAAAGCTATTTTCTCATACTAATCTGGAATCCAGACATTGGATTTGGAAACTCATTAAGTGGACATTTACTCTTCCTTGGAGAATTCTTTCCTGGATTTTGATAGTTAGCTACTAATAACTGAAATTGAATGAGCTCAAGGCATAGGCCAGGCACTCTAAGCATTTTACCTGCATTCTCATATGATCCTCATGAGAAACCTATGAACGCAGCATTACACTCCCATTTTACAAGAAACAAGCTTAGAAATGGTGACTTGCCAAAGGCCACAGAGGCAGGATTGGAGTCCAGGTCTGTAGGATGACCCTTTTTTTGTTGTTATTGTTGAGATTTAATAATATCATTTTTTTGTCTTATCAAGGACATTCTTAAGTGAAACCAGCTTTTTTTCCCCTCCCCCAAAGTACATGGGGGAAGAAATAAAATTACTATCACAGTTTGGACCACTGCCTTGATTCCTGCTAAAGCAATGCAATTTTAAACACCACTGCTTGCACCATCAGTGCAAATGCCCAAACAGTAAAAAAGACAAATAATGTCTTTGTATTAGTTTTGAAAGGAATTTTAACTCACTGACCCCTTATAGGGTCTTGGAGACCCCCAGGGCTCCACACACCATACTTTGAGAACTACTCTCTAGATTATGGGACTATTGATGATTTTTTTTCTTTTCTTCCCCCTCCTCCTCTTTCTCTTTCTTCCTTCTTAACAAATCTGTATTTTCTAATTTTTTGTGCAATCTATATGTGTCACTTAATGTAATCTTTTAAAATCTAAAATTATGGACATCTTTCTACATTCAATGGGCTCTTAAGTTAGATTTTATATATTTACAGATTACTTAATAAAAGAGAATATTCCATATATAACCATGCAGACATGTATTCGTTGTTCTCCTGCCATCTCCATGCATACAGTTTTATTTTTTCCTTTTGGATTCTTTCTTAGGCTATGTCCTAGTCTGTCATCCTAAAACCACCAGGAACAAACCTCTAATCTGACAAAATCAGTCTTGTTGACCCACATCAATGAGGGAGACCCACCTGCAGAGGGAATGCAGGGCCTGATTACACAAGGGGTAAGTCTGTGTAAGGTTATTAAAGTATTTGGGTGAAGGGTGGGGTTGGGTGAAATGTAAACCAAGCGGTGCTTTGATAGGCTCGACACAGTGCAGGGCCATAGGCGAAAGGTCAGCTTAGGTCCAGACAGAGAATTTGCCTCTGGGGCCGCTCCCATGGAAACTATAAAAATAGGTATGAAATACTGAATCTACAGACTTCTCTCCTGAGGCTGATTTTCTGTGTCAAAGTGACTTAGCTCCTCCAGGCATGTTTCTCTCTTAGTAATAGGATTTCAAACAGCAAATTTCTGAGAGTTTGTGATTTTAGGGAAAAAAAGAAATCTCAATGAAAAAGCAAGTCACTCCAAGAACATGGTTATTGGGATTCTTTACAGCTATAATACAACCTTGGGAGAAATAATGTTTCCTGTTAATACTGCAGCTGGCTTTATCCATGCCCGTCCTGATGCAGGCAGGGGCAGGCAGACTTCTACAGGTTCATTTCAAACTCATTTTTGCTTTCTCCATTATAGACCCTCAAACAGAAATACTGAACCAAGTGATTTAATCATCTTTCTTTTTTACTTTCTCTGGGCTTGTTATCTGAAACAGCCCAGCTCCACTCCCAGCCAGTCAGTTTCTAATAACTCTGGCAAATGTGCCTGCTTTCCGCTGGTCACCTTGGTACCCCTGAGTCCTTGGGGATTAGAAGTGACCTTCCTGAAAGCAGCTGCTTCTCACTGGAGGCAGGGTGTCCCTCCACTATGGCTGCCTCCTCCAGGCTGCCCTCCTGGAGTTGGCAGGAACTCATCATTGCTACCTATCACAGGCAGAAGGTGGGGGACCAGGGCAGTGCTGTCCTGGACAGAGGCAGCTCCACTGCACACGCACTGCTGAGGCTCCCCCTGGAGGGCCAAACCCAAGGATCTGCAGAGGTTGGGCCTCCAGCTGGTCTTCTTTCCCCAGAACCTCACCCCAGTGGGCCACAGCTAGCCTTCCTACACCAGATGATCTGATTTTAAATGTACAAAATACTTTTAAACAGATGCAGATCTTTGTATTCATCTTTGTCAAGAGCTTGACTTGTGATAAATCAAGCACAAAACTAGATTATCTCAAAAGAATGAATCTTGGTGATTTGTCACAAAATGATTGCAATAAAAGCCTTATTTGGAAATAATTGGAAGTATTTTAGGGTCATAACATCTTCACAATTTGAATTGGAAGGGATTGATAGTTAGAATGATCTTGTCCTATCTTCTCATCTCACACAAGAGAAACTATTTCAAACTCAGGTTAAGTGACCTGACCAAGGTCACACAGCACCACCAGAGTTAACTCTTGGACATTGAAGCAAATGAAGAATCGTTTTGTTCTCTCTCCTCCTCGCAGAGATGTTTTTAAATTACTTTCCTAGTCATGACAACTGGCCCTGACACCCATGGCTTTGTACCTCACTCAGATGATGAACTCCTGTTCCTTAACTTGTTTTGTATTGTCCCCAGGAGGCCCCCAGCTTTCTGGTTGGTTGAAAAAACTGACCTGTCTGGTCCGAGTCCAGCTGGCCTTCCCTCTGGGCTGGCAGGCTGACAACAGCTGACGCCAGCAGTCGCTCACGTGACCACCGCAGCTCTCTGTTCTGCTCCGTGTCCCAGGCCTGAGTGGGTACTTCCAGGGGCTCCTTCCATGAGGGGCACCAGGTAGGCACCCCAGCCCTGCCCATCCATCACTGGAACTGCTAGGGGGACACCAGGCAGCACAGTCAGACAGACTTGGGCAGATCAGATGTGGGGCATTCCGTGCTGGTCCAGGGCTCTTGAGGCAGCAGGGACACAATGTGGCTGGCCTCAAGATGTCTCATGCCCTCCATTCTTGCCTCTCCCCTCTCCTTGTCCCCTGCCTCCAGGCGTGCCGCTGTCCCTTCCTCTGTTTGTTCTTCCTTTCCTCTCAGCTACAGACATTTCCCCTTCCTGTGCCGATTGGAGGGGTTAATCAGTGACAGGAAGCTGCCTCTCTCAGCAGTTACTGGCTGTCGTCAGGAAAGCCTGAGCAAGGCCAGCCCTCGGAGTCTGTCCTGCTTCCTGCCTACTGCTCACCTGCCTGCTCTTGCCATGGGGTGCCTTGGGGCCTTCCTCTTCCTGCTGGGAGGCCTGGGAGCTCTCGCTAAGTTGTGGGGTAAGTAACCGAATCTACCCTGTACCTCTTTCCCAGGCAGAGGGAGGTGAGTGTGGGAGACCCGGGGGGAGAGACGAGTCTGAGAAGGGAACGGCCTGGTCAGGGCAAGGCATTTGCATTATATTCACACGCTGGGGCCTGGCTATTCCAGCTCTGTGTCCCAGTGCCCTTAGGAGCCTCAGGACCTCTCAGGACTTGTCTGGGAGCTTGAGGGTACAGGCGGCAGGCTGCTTGTGCCCTGGAGCTGGGCAGAAGGCAGCCGGCAGGAAGGGAATCCTCAGCAGTCTGGGACCGCCCCCCTCTCCTCTTGTTGCACGCTGCCCACAGCATTATGCTCTGCAGTGTGCTTTCACCATCAGGGTCTCTTGTGGTGCTTGGAGGAACCAAGAGGCACATTCAGTCCTGTCCAGCTGACAGCTGAAGCAGCCAAGGGTTGGAGGGGCCAAGTGACCCACCAAAGTGCTCTAGCTTTCCAGGACTTTCCCAGACCCCGTTCTCGGAGCTCCAGGCCAGCATCTTCCCTGGGCACCAGGAGCTTCCCGCCTGTGTTCCACAAACACAGCCAGGCACTTGGATCTTGGTTCCTGCCCAGACAGTACCCAGGGGCACCTGGGACCCGGTCCTCACCCTTACTCAGCATGAACCTTTCAACATAGACCCCACAAGAGCCCTGAATTGGGTTTGGGTACAGTCCACTGCTGCTGAGCCACTTAGTCCCTCCTAGCCTCTTTCTCTCACCAGTAAAATGGGCTAAGAATGCTCCCTGCCTCCTCCTTGCTGTGGTGTGAGGGATCTCACACCGCCTGCTTTACCAGCTTAAAGCTCTGGGCAGTTGTGAAACTCACCAGATGGTGCCCCACTGCTAGCGCGGGGCAGGCTGCTGGGTCTCTGAATGTCAGTGCCAGCCCATCAGTCCTCAGCTGGCAGAGCCGGGCAGCCCTGGGAGCACAAGGCCCTGGTGGGGAGAGAGCTTGCCCAGGGCCATTTTATTATCTGGGTGAATCTTCCTGGCTCTTTCCTGAGGTTGCAGAGTTGTGGTTATCAGCCTCTTTTTACAGCTCTGGCTTCTCTTCTTATCACTTCTAATCCCAGGGCTGACTCACCTGATGGAGGTCAGAGCCCAGGTGTGGGCAGGGACCCTCACCAGTTTGAAGAAAAGGGAGAGGGAGAGAAAGGTACAGAGGGATGGATGACTAGAGAGACAGCCTGAGAGATGTGGAGACAGACTGATCCAGAGAGAGAGAGAGAGAAATAGCGGCAGAAATGGAGACAGACACCCAGAAAGTCACCAGGAAAGGGAAGGGAAAGAAAAGCGCACACCACCCCCACCCCTGAGCTCATAGCCACGATACTGTGACATTTGGGAAAACAAGCATTTGATGGCGGCACCCAAATCAGGAGAAACGGGCTACGTGACAGGAAGCCTGGTCCGGGTGCCTGCCAGGCAGTTCCTTCACTCAGTCCCCAGGAGGCGCGGCCTGCCCAGCATCCTGGGATGTGGTACCGTGGAGGCAGCTGGAGCCCTGCAGCAGCTGCGAGGCAGTGAGGGGGGGAAGTCCAAAGGGCCTCTAAGGCCACCTGCTCAGCTCAGGTCCTCCCCTAAGGGAGGAAGGTCAGCTGGAGCTGCCTTCTGCTTCCCCAGGTATTTTGGTTACACAGCTTCCATCAAAACCCAAAGCACAACTGATAAATGGTTGCAAAGGAACAATTTACCTCTCATTCTTAGGGCCTCATGACCTAAACAGGAGACAGAAAAGGTTGATTTTGCTATCTGCACAAAGGAATTTCAGCAGGCAGCCCCAGTAAGGCGGCAGGCAGTCTGCTGTTTTAAAATTAGATGTGTAACATGCTGCACGTATGGGCTGGAATTTCTGTGAACAGGTAGGATATGCCTTCACGGCACCAGAGAGCAGAGGCGTTGCCAGCGGGTCTATCCATGGCTCTGCAGCCTTGCATAAGCTATGACATGACTTCGAACTTCTGTTTCCTCTTTTGTCAAAGCGATGATGACAGTACCTGTGTCACAGGGCTGGTGTAAGGACCTGCTGAGGTCAGGTGGGGTGTCTGGGGCATACCATGAGGCTTGATTCCAGTCTCTCTGTTGCTCCTATGGCAGATGGTTGCCTGGTACCAGCTTCCTCAGCCCGTGGCTCCCCATCTCTCCCTAACCCATTCCAAGTGCCCCTTTGGGATACCTGCTTTCCCCTGTTCCCTTTCAAACAGCCACATTTCCCCATAGGAATAGGGTATGTGGTGGGTAGAGGTGGAGTAGGGATATTCACTCCCTGAAGAAAGCCTTGGGAAGGAAAAAGCAGTTCCTTCTTGATGGCCTGGCCCGCAACCTCACGTGGCCTGTTCTCTTTCCTAAGATATACCAGGGGAGGACAGCAAGCTTCAGGAGAGGCTGGGCCAGCTCCTCTTGCCCTGGATGGACCGGCTGTCCCTGGAGCACCTGAACCCCAGTGTCTACGTGGGCCTACGCCTTTCCAGCGTGCAGGCCGGGGCCAAGGAGGCCCTTTACCTGCACCACCTCAAGCTTGATTACCAGCAGAACCTCCTGGGGTATTGCCATATTCTCTCTTCTCCTGTCCCCATGTCATGCTTCACATCCTAAGAAACAGGAGACTGCATCCTGGTCTGGGCCCGTCATTGCTTTATTGGGAGTTTGAGCAAGTTCTGTCTCCTTTGGGCCTTTCTCCAACTTTAGAATGGAGTTTGTTTGACTAGACTGGAGATGCCAATTTAGGGCCCTTGTGCTGTTAATGCACCGTCCTGTACCTGAGGCAGACGTCGCTAATCCATGACAGCAATCTTCCACACTGAGCCCAGAAGCAGCATCTGACCCTGTGTTCCCTTTCCAGGGGTCATTAAGGGGAGGCCTTTCCTGAGGTCCAGTGTGAGGTTGAATGAGACATGAAGGATCAGGAGCACCACGGGGCATCTCCTGCTTGGTTCCTCTCCAGAAGTGGACACAGGGCAGGGAGAGGAAAGAAAGGGGAGAATGCACAGGTGACGTGTGACCGAAATAGTGGGGCGGCCCATGTCATTTGGATACAGGAGCCTTCAGAGTTTGTCCTTGAGTTTAATTTCTCAAGGACACACATATGTGTTATGCAACTTACGACTCACACAGCTGACTACACCTGCCTTTGGCAGTTCTAGCAAGGTTTCCAAGTGTTAGGTTTGTTTCCACTTTGTGATGTTTGTTAGGGGCACCCCAAGCCAGGCTTACTGGGGCAGCACTTTCTTATAGGAGTATTGTTAACTGGCTTTGTCTTAGGTCTGGCACCAGCGAATACAGCAGGGACAAGCCCTCCATGGGCCAACTGGCCCTCTACCTGCTCGCTCTCAGGGCCAACTGCGAATTTGCCGGAGGCCACAAGGGGGACAAGCTGGTCTCAAAACTGAAGCGGTTCCTGGAGGACGAGAAGAAGGCCATTGGTGAGGAGATGCAGCCTGCCGGGCGTGTGAGGGCACCAGACAACATTCCCTGCTGAAGCTGCTGCATCAGAACGTCGCATTTTCCCCCTAGGCTCCTTTCCTGTCCTTCATTCTGCCTGTCTGAATGTCCACCTAGAAACCTGGGCCTGCCCCAGGAGCCATCCTTACTCAAGCCTGGCAAGGCCCGCTGCTGTCCACCTCTGGGACAACTGCGCAGCCTCCTTACTGCTTCCTCCTCAACCTCTCTGCTAACGTTCCTGTCTCCTGACCAGACCCAGCACATGGCGGCCAGAGTGAGCATTTTAAATATAAATCTGACCTCATGAGCACTGCTTAAACCCTGCAGAGGCTGCTCTCTGCTTGTGTTCTCAGCACTCCGGCACAGCCTGTCTGTCCTTTTCTCCTCTTCAGACTGTCCACCCACTGGGCCTCCACGGCCCTCTGGCCACACTGGCTACTGGCCACCTGTCAGCTCACAAACCAGGGTCTTCAAAGTGTCCCCTCTATTTGGAAGGTCTCTGTCCTCTTCTAGCTCACTCCTGCCCCACCTCTGGCTCCCCCGGCCCCACCTCCCCAGCATCACTGCCTCAGAGAATCCTGCCCTGACTCCCCGGCTACTCAGAAACCTCTGCACACTGCCCCATGGGTTTTGGTCCGGACTTCAGCTCTAACAGTGCTCTTGGGTTATGGTTGGAGGCCGTGACTGCAGTGTGCCTGGCCTCTTTTCCCCAGTTGGTCGTCTCTCCAAGCACAGCACCCAACATGTAGTGGTCCACCAGCAAGTATGGGTTGAGGAAATGAAGGAACAAAGGATCCCACAACCCAGAGGAGGGAGTTGGGGTGTGTGTGCAGTGGGGCCCTGTGTGCTGCTGGGCTGGTTGCTGGGAGGGGGCAGAGAGGCAACTCTTCAGGCCTGCTGGGATGCTCCTGCTCCACGGTTTTCTCCCTCCCAGGGCACAACCACAGGGGCCACCCCAACACCAGCTACTATCAGTACGGCCTGGGCATCCTGGCCCTGTGCGTCCACCAGAAGCGGCTCCATGACAGTGTGGTGGGCAAGCTCCTGCATGCTGTGGAACACGACCTGCATCTCCCCTGGGGCCACCTCTCTGTGGGTGAGTGTTGAGGCCAGGCTGACACTCCTCCAAGCCCCCAGTGAAGGCCTCCAACCCCTGGGCCCATGCTCACCTTTCCCTGGCCCCCTTCCCTGTAGAGTCCTTTAGGGGCAAGATGGCAAGGGTTCATGTGTGGTTAAGTGAGCCAAAGTTGGAGCTGGACTGGGGTCCTGATCCCAGGGCGATCACACACTCGCTGTAGGACACTCCAGGCAAGTCAGCTGGCCTTTCTGTTTCAGCTTCTCCTGGAAAATAACCTTCCAGCAGCACATCTCTAGAGGATACCTTGTAAGTAAAGGACTTGCTATGGTGCCTGGTATGGAGAATGTTCTGGATAGATAGCTATGATTTGATCGTCATATGAGCTGGGAAGCCTGAGGCCTGGATTCTGAATCTGCTTCCTCACTGTGTGACCTTGGCCCTCCAATGCCCTTTCTTGTCTTTGTGATTTGTTGTCCCTTCTAGGCCTGGGCTTCTGTGAGTGAGTGAGTGTGCCTTGCATAGGGTGGGGGTAGGAAGGAGTAGGTTAGGGGGTGGGGGGTGGTGCCTAGAGGGAAGGTGGCAGGGCTCCTGACAGCAAAAGGCATGTTTTATCTCAGAAGCTTTAGAAAAATCACTGTGGACAGACTAAATCATATAGGGGTGGGGATTGGGGGCTTAAAAAAAACCCAGGTCCCAGACAGCTCACTGGACATATTAAATCAGACCCACCAAACTTCCCTGGTGATTCCAAAGTGCAGGAGGGTTTGGAAAGGAGTGATGTAGGATAAAGTCCTCCCAGGCGTCCCTCCTAACCTCTGTCTCCTGACCTCTCCCAGCCTCCAGCATTCCAAGCAGTAGGCAGGGTAGGGAGAACAACCATCCAGCTTGTCCTGGACACTGGACTTACAGTGACCCTACTGGGAAAGTCATGGGCAAATGGGGCTGGGGTGGTCCACCTGGCTAGTGAAAACTTTCTAAAATGCTGATCTGACTGTTGCCCCGAGGCCCTGCCTGGGCTGACCCCAACTGGCTCTTTCCTGCAGATACAGCAGCCATGGCAGGCTTGGCCTTCACCTGTCTAGAGCGCTCCAACTTCAACTCCAATCAGAGGAACCAGATCATCCTGGCCATCAAGACAGTGCAAGACAAGATCCTGAAGGCCCAGACCCCCGAGGGCCACTTTGGGAATGTCTACAGCACCCCTCTGGCACTGCAGGTGGAAAAGAGACCCTGGGCCCATGGTCCACCCTGGTGGTGGACCGGTTAGGGGCTGGAATACCTGGCTCCTTTCCCCAGCTGACCCACCTTTTCCTCGTCTCTGTTCTGTTGCCAGTTGCTGATGACCTCCTCCACAATCGAGGTAGAGCTAAGCATAGCATGCCTCAAGGCAAGGGCTGCTCTGTTGGCCAGCCTAGAGGATGGGGCCTTCCAGAATGTTCTCATGATTTCCCAGCTGCTGCCCGTCCTGAATCACAAGAGCTATGTAGATCTCATCTCACCAGACTGCCTGGAACCAAGAGGTAGCCAGACCTTGCCCAGAAACCGCACTGTTTTCAATCTGCAGAGTGCCTATTTAAGTCTGCATGTCTCAGTGAGGGGCAGTGGGTAGAGGTTCTTCAAGGGGTAGGGATTGTTTGTTCCTGATTTGCCAAGTCCGCAGGGGTTTGTGGGTGTGTGGGGGGCACACTGGCAGCTAAGATGCAGTCACAGCTTTTAGAAGCTCATAATGTGGGGAGGGAGACACCAAATGAAGAGCTGTGAGCTGCCCATGAATCTCCAGCCCCTGTGTGATACCCAGTACAGAAACGGTTGAATGAATGAATGAGTAAGGAGAGAGACACATTTTGTTTAGCTCTGATATGTCATAGTGAGTCCCAGTTAGCAGCTTGAATCAGGGCTTCATCTGGGAGAAAGACTTGAGTTGGTGAGAGGGATTTGCCAGTGGAGAAGGGAGCAGAAAGGAGGAGGGGCCAGCAGGAACAAGAGGGTGTGAAAGACTGGAATTTGGGGGAAGTGTCTGACTGAAGATGGGTCTGGGAGAATGAGCTGGAGTGGCAGGAAGGAAAATGAAAAGGAGGGGAGACTCTCAGAGGTTAACAGGGAGTGAAATGAGCACGAGTGTATGTTCGGAAAGAGCCCCCTCGGATGCTATGCAGCGGGGGAGAGAGGGGAGATCCTGGAGGCAGAGAAGCCAGTGAGGGCCCTGACCTTGGGTGGCCGGGGAATGTGGGAGCTAAGGGATGGGAGGGCTGGACTGGCAGGCAGATTCCAGCTGCCCAGGTGGCGGTGGTGACTGAGGTGGGCCCACAGGGAAGGAGGAGGTCCTGATGGGCCACGGTGTCTCCAAGGGGAGGAGGAAGATGAGCACCCCGGTCTTCTGCCCGCCCGTGAGCCACCCCTTCCTGTCTCCCTCTACAGCCATGTTGGAGCCAACTATGGAGACGCCTCCACAGATCCAAGTGCCAGAGGTCATCAGGGTCATGCTGCAGGTCCTCAGCATCTGGCCACCATACAGACACTCCATCTCTGTACCTGCTGGGTCCTCCTTAGAGGATGTTCTGAAGAAGGCCCAGAAGCTCGGAGGATTCATGTGAGAACCTGCCACTTCCTGGCCCTCAGCCCACGCGTTGCCTTCTCCCTAAAACAGCCCATGGATGGGACAGGGGATGGAGGAGAGCGTTCCCCTGGGAGAGGCACCAGCCCAGGCTCTGCTTCTGCCTTCCCCACGCCTGAGCTGCCTGTGTGGCAGCAGAAACAGGCAGCCTTGGGCCAGCACTGCCATCAGGAGGGCAGGTTCCGGAGGCAGAGCCTCCGCGTCGGAATCCAGGGCCGGCCAGTCTCCGACTAGCGCTTGTTGTTGGCTGCAGCTCAGTGGGATATCCATTGCGCTCACTTCCTCACAGGGCCTCTCTAGAGTCCAGGAATAGGGCACAAGGAGCACAGGGCACATAGTTTCTGTATGCTCAGTCAGCAGTCAATACAGGCTAGCTTTCATAAGAGTAAGAATTTTTATTATCAATCGATCTTGGTCTGACAAAATACCCTGGAGCAAGCCCCCTATAGAATGTGGAGGTTGGACAATGTCCTTAAACTTGCTTTTCACCTGAGATTTGACAAGTCCGAGAACAAGCATTTCTGGAGCGCGGCTCTATGCCCAGCCTTGTCCATGTTCTAAATAAGATGGGCATGATTCTTACATTCTTATACTATCAGTGGGGAATCTGGCCCAGAGAAGTTGAGTGCCTTCCACCAGGTCACCCAGACCCCAGACATCTCTTCTAGAAAGATATGCCTCAGTTTGAGAAGACCCTGATTGCTGTCCCCAGCTGGAGTTCTCAAAGGACATCTTGCAGCCAGAAGGGTCCCCATTTGGTGCCTTGAAGTCATATGGGCCAGGGAATTTGAGCCAGAAATATGCAAAGACCCCTTTAGAGGACAAAAATACTCCCAGATCCCAGAGTAAGTTATTTTTGTTATAATGTGGCTTAGATGTGTACTACTATGTTTATTATTTAAAGTCCTTTCCCTTTCTGGATCTAGACAGCTATAGATCCTAAACAGCTCTACAAATTAAAAACAAAGAGAACTATTAAACTGTTAACATTCAAATGGGACTCTCTGCTGAGGAGCAGGTGTGCACTGCCAGCTGCGCGGGTGAGCCAGATGCTCTCAGCCTCCCTTGGATTAAGCTGCCATCAGGCCTGAGTTTGTACAAGCAGCTGTGGCGTCATAGGCTCTTCCCTGGTCCTGAACACTCCATTCCTATTCGCTCACCTCGGTTCTCTTCCTGGTAGTCTGCAGTGGGTAGAGCAGTACTGCTGGGGCCAGTACAGTCCCAGATGGCCACACATATTGAGCACCCTTGGCAGGCCTCAGT